CTGTAATAAAACTTTCAAGTGTTCTCTATGCTCTTCCTCATTCTTAGAATACACCAGGATATCATCTATAAAGATAATCACAAACTTATCTAGATACTGTTGAAAAATTTTGTTCATCAGGCCCATGAAATAGGCAGGAGCATTTGTCAAATCCAAAGGCATTACAGGAAAGCACAAACTTATTTGAGGCTCTTGTGATCTGTGTATAACTCAACTTGTGCCCAATTGGCAAACCCGTTTGTACTGCGCAATAGCTAGGTTAGTGGGACAATTGCCAATCTGATTAAAGGTCTCCCAATATCTATTGTTGTAAGACTTTAATGTTTCTTTTTTGCCCATGTCGATGGTGAGCAACTGATTTATCTCAACTAGCATCTTGGTGTTTATTTTGAACTTGGTAACAAACGTCTCAGCCAGTTTGTGCCCAAGAGGCAATGTTGCCTTTTGGCAATTTCTCAAACCAAGTCAAGCATAACTCCCAACGTTTAGTGGGAACAAAATGCACATTAGAGCCTCGTTCCGCCGATGTATGGCCATAACTTAGTGAAAGTGGCTTCGATGCATGTATAGATATGACTTCTCGTCGTAGGTCGTGAACTTAGGCTAGTTGAAGCCTAAGGGCAGTGGTGCGTGCTCTGTTGTCGGAACGAACAGTGAACTCTACAACCTTGCTAACATTTTGTCTGCTGGTTCAAAGGAAAGGCGCGGCATTGACATTCCAACCTTGACGCTTCTGTGCGTCCTAGGAGCTAGTCACTGCAAAGCTGAGACCTTTTAGGGGTCCTATGCATGGGCTACTTCTCTTCTTCATGCCCTTTTTTCCAGAATGGTTAGCAAGTCCACTGATCTAGGAAGCTCGGTGTGCTGCTAAGTTGTCTGGTGAGTGTGTGAGGGTCGGTAGCTGCTTTCCTCCGCGCATGACCTCTTAGGTCTCGTTTTCTCAAACCTAGAGTAACGAGTCCTAGAAGTTCTCGAATAAGTGTTGCCTAGTCGTTGGCTTTTGCTTTCCGAGTGCGTAGGCGTGGCTTGCCTATCCCTATCCCCAAAATGGCGAGATCACGTTCTTCCTTCACAGATTTTCATCTTAACCACGCCTTTGCCTTTTATCTGGCACTCCATAGCCTCCATGTCAGCCGCCATTCTCCTGATCATCTCGTCTTTTTCCCTCACGCGATCTTTCAAAACTTGGGCTTTAGTCTTTTGCCTTTGTCCATCTAGGCTTTGAAAGCGATGAGGACTTAAGCCCCACTTTTCTCATGCGCCCTTATGAGGGTTTCATTTTTGAAGGTCTAAGTCTGCCATAGGCGAAACATAAGGAAAATCCTCACGCTTCTTGTTTCCCTCAGGAGTTTGTCCGTCGACGGTAAACTAAGGAAAGTCTTCGTTGTGCGCCATTAAAACTGGTTGAATGAAAACTTAATTAAGAGGTAAGTTCTCTGTATCTTTACTACAGACGACACTAATTGTACGAGCACGAAATAATCCTTTTCGTATAATCCTGTTGATCAAGTTTGCACTCCTCCAAACATTGCTCTCTTCTTATCACTTGAAAACACAAACGCGAGCTAGCTAGCAGGTGTGTGCCGAAAACCCCTCAGATGCCGAAGTCAACAAGTTGACAAAAGACACTAAAGCTCTGTGAATTCGAAAATTGCCATACCTGGGAATGGTTCTGTCATAAGCTTTTATAGATTCTACGCGGCACAATCCTAGTAGGACTCTAACCCTCCTTAGCAGAGTCCTCATAGGAATCCCATTCTTAAAAGATAATGCTTATCCCTAGAACACCCTCCTCACTGCCAACCAAGTGAGATGGCTAGAACTCTTTGCTCGGTTATCACTTCTTGCTTTGTTCTACTTTTAGCTGAGCCGTGCTAAACCTAACCAAAGAGTGGTGCTTTGCCGAGCTCCAGCTAGCTCGGCCTTCTTCATTGAAGTCACCTCAGTTCACTTATTAACCATGCATAAATAGCTAGGTCCATGCCCTAACAACCATCTTTGACAGGCCTTTAACAGATTTAGCCCGAGACTGGGCGATCTAGGCCATTGTCACGCTCCATTATTCGGCCCAACTCCCAAAAACCCTTTCACCTAGTTTGGTCCAATTTGTCTACACAAATTACCCTCTCAGTTATGATAGAGGAAAATTCTATTATACACAATTCTTAAAAAGGATGTACCAATATTTTTATTAAATGTCTTACATAGGTGTGCAACCCATATAAGATTCACAAGGTGTGAGTTCGATACCCATATAAAACATTTGATAAAAATATTAATAAAACATTTGTGGTCCGTTTGTTTTCCAACTTACACCTCTGGACTGGACTAACAGTGAGCTCCTCCTCTCCAAGTTCACGTTTGTTTTCTTTTTCGGCCAACAGAGTCATAGTGCTAGGAGACTTGGTATTAGAGGTGAAGTCGTTGGCATTACAGTGTGAAAGACAATTTTGCCACAACAAGCTTTAGCCACATCATCTAACTCAATGGCATTTCACAGTTTCCGAAATTGAAATTCGCAAGAAAAAAAAAACTGTGTTGACAGTGATCATTGGCATCCTAGGTGTCGTTGACGGTTATGATCGTCATGGTTTCGGTGATCTCATTCTCACTCTCCGTCGTCGGTGTTATCAGCAAAACTCTTCTGATGATGAATGAAGCAACATTTAATTGAATTAAATCTTTCAATACACTGTTTTAAAACCATAGACTGGTTTTGGAAACCATGGGCTGATTTGATTTTTTTTTTCTCTCATTATTTCATAATTATATTTTTTAAAAATAATTTAATATAATAATATTTTTATAAAACATAATTTTTAATATTAAAATATATCACAAACAAATGCAATTTTTCATAGTCCACTCACTAACAATTCTCAAATTTGATAGTAATGCAACAAGAGTATTTATGAAATTTACTAGTTAATCCCACTCCTATGTCACAAAACAAATAGCAATTGTTACTAGTCCGTTAGTTATCAAACAAACACAAATTTTTTTAATCCTCTCACTAACTATTTCCTTACTACCCGTCTCTTCACTAATAATTCCATTGCTAACAACCCTACCTAATCTACCCCCGAAAACAAATGGCCTTGGTAGCTAGCATTTTTCGTTTTAGAAAGTATGAAATTATGGTTTATGATATCCCATAAATAGATAGCGTAATCTGGCTGCTTCTCTGCAAGCCCAGTCAGTGAATGTATATCTTTTCCTAAATTTTGTCATTCTAGAACTGCATTTCATGCTTTTCATGTTCTCGACTTGTTCGTTTTCTTCACACAGCAAAGGTTTTCAATTTGGTTTTTTTTTTCTTTTTGTTTTTTTACACCTACTACCTTAATGTTTTTCAATGTCTGTCATTGACACCTCAATTGATAGTGTCCATCAACATCTCTCTTCGAAGCGCCAATTGGAGGACGAAGACGAACAATTCTTAGTCTCCGTCAGGATGAGGAAAGATGAACCCAACAACACCATTGTATGATTAGAAGCTTGTTGTTCTTCACAGTAATTCTTTGTTAGAATGATGTCTGAAGTTAATTCCCTAGTTGTACAAGCAAATTCTGAAGACACTGTTGAATCGGTCCATGAACGCATCCATTCTATTATTGGAATTCCCGAGCAAAGGTTGGTTCATAGGGAGAAACACCTTCAATAGGAGAAATATTTAGCTGAATGTTCGATTCAGAATGGTGCTGGACTTCAATTGGTGGGTCAGATACAAGGTATTCATCATCCACAAGCTTGGACAGTGATTAACGAGGTGGTTTCGTTAATTTTTCGTATATGTGAAGGCAAAAGCAAAGTTTCGCATTGTTGCAAGTTAGTGAAGTTGAGGCTAATGGAGTTATTGGCAATGACAAAGATGAATATTAAGGAAGCGGCATCGAGACATTTGCAGATTTTTTTTTTTATGCTCGTGTGCACCTGCAGGTTTGGTTATGCTTTACATGTTGCAGGATAAAGGTAACAAGGTGTGTGCTAATGAATCAATTTAGTATTTTGTTAATTTAAGGAAGATTGTGTTGCCAAAAACTATACACTCACTGTATGCACCAATAGTTCTAGAATTTTGTAAGTTGCTCAGTAGAGCTGCTCATGATGATCCTTTGTATTTATTGTGTAGAACTAGTCTTGGGTCAATGTTGGAATATATCCGCATTGGGCAAGGCTCGAAAAATAGTAATACTAGTAAGTCATTGATTTCAGTTCAACAGATTTTCCCATTTGTTAGAGAGCTTGCAGCTAAGTTGTCCAATGATTTGTTGTCGAGCATATGGAATTGCCTGTGAGGGTTGGGCTGTCGTTAAGTGATGTCTGTGATTTTACGGCTTTCTTGCTCCCAATGCGCACTGTAATTGCAGAACAGGAACAGGTGGCTTTGGGGGGTTCAATCTCAATGCCGTTTTGTGAGGGTGGTCATAACCTACCAAGTTATGGTGAAGAGAAGTTTCTTCATGGCATTTTTACTGATTTATTACGAAGTGTATGAAAATGTGGCCATAAATAGTCCTCGCACTACTGGAAATGAGGCTTTTAGAGGCGTTTACAAAATGCCGCTATAACTATAAAAAAACACCGCTAATTCTTTTTGCGACGTTTGGTACCAAACGTCGAAGATGCGGCCGTCGCTATATCTTTATGGCGCTTCAAAAGCGTTGTTATATGAGAATAGGCGGCGTTTTTAAAAACACCACTAAATGTGTTACATAACAGTGACATCAACATTTAACGACGTTTTAAAAACGTTGTGGTATCTTTTTTCTATTTTAAAAATATAACACTATAGTGGCGTTTTAAAAACGCCGTTATAGCTTCATTTTTCTTTCATTTTTTTTTTAAAATTGTGCTAATTCTGTGATGCATAAGCCCTCATAAACAGTTTGGCAAGTACAGTAGCAAAAGGAAAATAGGCCTTCAACTACAAACACAAATACAAAAAAGAAAAAAAAAATCAAATGTATTTGTTTCGAGAGAACATACATAATATGGTACCAAGTAAATTCTGACCGTGACACAATGCAATACATCACATAGCCATTCAAGAAGAACAAACAAAATTTCATGCCAATGTATTGCACAATACATTCCTGTCTTGCAGGTAACGAGATTGAAGCATCATCTTTAGAGTGCAGGTAACAAAATTTCCCCCACAAAAATGTCGTCATCTTCAGCTCTGGAAACTTCAGGGCCTTGGTTCTCTCTTGATTCGGGATGTCCCTGCTTCGGAGGTGGGGGAGGTGGAGGTAGGTTTTCTCTGTAAGTTCTATTCTTTAAAATTTCACCGTCAGGCTTTGACACCCTCTCATCTTCAACATAGTCATTACCAATAATTGCTATCCTTCCTGTTGATTTGACAATGTGTTACATGCAGATGGAAATTACAGAGGTCAAGAACAAAGAAAAAGTAAAGCTAAAAACACTAACTAGTGTACCAACAAACATATCAACTAAGACGCAAGACATACATGTGCGATCCACCACTTGACCTAGGACTCACTTAACATTGTGTCTAGTTGGTACATTAGTTATGTTTGTTGGTACATTAGTTAGTGTTTTTAACATTATTGGAGGGGGGGAAAAGGGGATAATGCATTCATTACAAAACCGAATCAAATAACCACCACACAGAAATGCACATATACAGAAAACAAAATAAGACAGCAAGTGTGGAAATCCGAAAAAGTAGAAACCTCTCACCCTCCCTAGGAAATCGAAACTAACCAATCTGATACCAAATGGCTGACACTATATCATTATAATCCATGTATGCATTGCATGAATGGTCGCGTGAATTCTCTAGAAACTTACCCCTGATAAGAATTAATTAAATCACTGCAGAATTTCCTTTCTGAGAAGAATTTTGAATTCATACCAGTTTGTTAAGAGCAATTATATTCATGCTAATCAGGGTGGCTATGTTCCCATTTACCCATTAGACCAGAGTTAACGTTTTCGTCATGTTCTAAAGCACAGATGTGCTGAATATGCTTTGAAAAGTCTCATGGATTTGGAATTAAATAGTTACTTGGAATATCATGCAAAAATACAAACCAAAGTGACAATGGCCAACAAGTTTTTTTCAAAAAACAGTATAGCATACCTTTCACTTCTCTTTCTTTCTTCTTTTTCTTGAGAACCTTCCCAGATGATCCAAGGCGAAGATATGACATAATTTTAGCAATTCGATCTAGCACAGAACCATCAACACTGACAGTAACCATTTCCTGCAATATACGTAAAGATGAAAATTAAATTACTAGAATAACACCGAAGAAAATTTGCAATAAAGAGGTAATAAAATACAAACCTCTGGGACCGGGCAGTCAACTTTACTTCTACGCAGAGCGGTTGGAATATCATGGGAAAACCCACCCTCCTACCATACATGAAAGATAATTTAGATTGAAAATTTTGCTTAAAAAGGTGCATTTGCTGTTTCAGAGTCTAGCACTTTTTTCTCCAATAGTGTAGATGCACAAAATCATAGTCATAAATAAATAAATAACTAAAATGAAAAATCATAGCAACTACCAGATAGTACTGAGCAAATTTGATATGCATATAGCATAACACCTTCATCTTATAGATTATTGGCTTTTTGAAAAACCAAATCATCTATACTAGCCCCAGGTTCAACCTCATGAGTCACAACTGACACCTGCCAGCCTAAAGTCCAAACTGTATGATAATTAGAGTACAGTCCATAACTCATGAATATGATGGTAAGACTTGGGAGTTATAACTTCTAGGTCTCAAGTTCAACTCTTGGTGAAGCCAAGGCTCTTGTTTTTCGTCCAGTAATGAGGAGTGGTGCATCTCATTAACCCCAAGACAGGAATTTTGTTACCTGCAAGACAGGAATTTTGTTACGTACATAAATATGGTGCCAAGTAAATTCTGACCGTGACACAGCGCAATACATCGCATAGCCATTCAAGAAGAACAAACAAAATTTCATGCCAATGTATTACACAATACATTCCTGTCTTGCAGGTAACGAGATTGAAGCATCATCTTTAGAGTGCAGGTAACAAAATTTGCCCTACAAAAATGTCGTCATCTTCAGCTCTGCAAACTTCAGGGCCTTGGTTCTCTTTTGAATCAGGATGTCCCTGCTTCGGAGGTGGGGGAGGTAGAGGTAGGTTTTCTCTGTAAGTTCTATTCTTTAAAATTTCACCATCAGGCTTTGACACTATAGTGATCCCGGGTTTACCCTTGTTGTACAGTGATCCGGACATGTGTCCGTGGATGTTGGTAGTTGGTTATTATCGTGTTTACATTCCTTTTTCTTCATATTTGAGTTATAGGATGTGTTAGGCAGGTTTGTTACAGGTTGGTTGTGTTCGGGAGCCTAGTGTTGCTGCCCAGAATTTTGGACCTTCGCTCGAGCGAGGAGTTGGTGTGTTGGTTGTTTTTCCTATTTTAGCTCTTTGCTTTGTGAGTTATCCTTTTTCTATAGTCATTGTTAGTTAGGCATCTGTCCTTGTTTGTGTTTTCTATCTGTGTGTTTTGGGGTATTTGGTATCTATGTTGAAAAAGGGATTCCTCCTTAACGTTGGGCCGGCCACTAGGCGATTGTCAAGGGAAGAGAAAGGTAAAGTTATTGCCCTTGATTCAGATTGTAGTCCAAACAATAGGAGATCTATGTCACCACAAGACATGTTCTCATATATGGACCTGTACGGGGAAGAAATAATTCTCCTCGTATAATCCTGTTGACTAAGTCCACGCTCCTCCGTACGACGTCGCATTGTCACCTGAAAACACAAACGTGAGCTAGCCGGCGGGTGTGTGCCGGAAACCTCTCCAATGCCTAAGTCAGAAAACTTGACAAATAGACAAAGCTCAATGTATTCAGGAAGCAAAATTGTATTGTGTTCTGTTACCTCCACCAAGGTGATGTTTGTGAGCTTTTATAAGTTTTGAGTGGCCCAATCCTAGTAGGACTTTTATTCCTCCATGCAGAGTCCTCCTAGGATTCATACTCCTAAGGATAATGCTTATCCTT